ACCCAATAATCAAACAAATCATTGAAATTACTAAGCTTAATATATTATGAAGAGAAATGTATAAATAAAACATAATTTTCTCTCTGTTCATTTTTACTTGTCACATTTTGACCTAATACATTCATTATTAAAAATAATTAATGATATAGATATTTTATCAAATTATCCCTTATTGAATGATGCCTTGGAAAATGACAAGTAAAAAATAAAAAAGGAAGTCGTCTTTTCTTCATAAAATTAAAATTTATTTTAAAAATAAGTCATAAGTAAAAGTTAGCAGAAAAAGCACTTAAAGTTTCAATTATTTTTTTTAATTCAATGCGTAAGTATTTGACGAAGCAGGAACAATATTTACGGAAATATAGGAGACCCACGAGATGAGAATGATTGTGGTATCAAGAAAATCAACAAACAAGTGTAGCTAGGTTTCATGGACAATTTGACTTTATTAGTTTTCCTCGTTTTTCAGTGTTGGTTTCCTCAGTTGCATTTTAGTTTGAACTTTAACTAGTTTTTCTAAAAGAGAGTGAAATTTAAAATGATGATATATTTGACCCATTTTCCTCAAATTCACACATATAAATTAAAATTAAGAATTAAGAATTAATTAAAATAAGATTATAATTTAAAATATAATTAATTAAAGTAAAATTCTAATCATGGAATCTCACTTTTGTTGACTAAATCTTAATTACTATTACTTATTACTAATTTATATCATGTGTCTCTCGTTCGAGTAATAACTCGAAATAAAGGAAAGGAACCAAATTCCAATTTGAGCAACTTGTCAATCAAAAGGATTTTGTCTCCCAAACCTTTTATTCTTCCTGTCTTAATTCATATGATACACTTATTTTTAATACGAAATCAAAAAAGTTATAATTAGAAAACAAACTTTATTTAAAATAAATGATTTATAACATATCTAGTAGGAGTAACAAATTATTTTAGACCACCATATTTTTATTTTGGTAAACATGGTGTCAGTCCAAATGTACACGAATTGAGTAATTAAGATTTTGTGGACTAGTTTTGCACCTGTCTTTGTGTATATATATATATATTGTTAGTGCTCTCCCAACAATTGAACTACTCCATAATTTTGTAAATGCTTAAGTTATAATATAAGTGGAATAAATTATAGTGTTGTGATACTGGAAAAGTTGTTTTGTTTTTTTAGGCATGGAAGCTCCACCACTATCGTCCGGCACCGGCGAAGCACAGTTGCCGAGAAGAACCGGAGGCTGGATCACCTTCCCCTTCATCATAGGTCTCTTATATATTTGTGTGTCAATCTATGACCATGCATGATATGAAATGTGTAGTATTAAATATTATTTGTTTATATATATATGCAGCAACAACAACATGTTTGACCCTAGCATTTGGGGGTTGGACAAGCAATCTTATTGTGTATCTGATTAAGGAATTTGATATGGAGAGTATTGATGCTGCTCAAATATATAATTTGGTTAATGGTGCTGGAAGCTTAATTCCTGTTGTTGCGGCAATTATTGCTGACTCTTTTCTTGGTTGCTTCTCTATCATATGGATTTCATCCATCATCTCATTATTGGTACAAACTAATCTTTGTTTTGTTTCTATCCTAATAATATAATGAGTCTACGCTCTATACTTTTTGGGTGAATACATTATTGTTGTATATGATTACATACTTTTTCTATCCAATTTATTATGTGGCACAATGGTGTTTAATTATTTTGTCGCTTATACGTGTAGGGCACAATCCTTTTAGGTTTAACAGCGACGCTTGATTCTCTAAGGCCTAAACCTTGTGAAGTTGGTTCAACTTCATGTACCCCTAAACCAAAAGTTCAATTTGTACTACTCTATGCAGCTATAGTTCTGGCAACTCTGGGGAATGGCGGTCTCCGATCAACGCTTTCAACAATGGGAGCCAACCAATTTGATAAACAAAAAGATGAAGGGATTTTCTTCAATTGGTTCTTTTTCTTCACTTATGGTTCATCTGTAGTAGCAACAACAGCTATTGTCTATGTTGAAGATAACGTAAGCTGGAAAGCTGGATTTTTCATTTGTGTTGCAGCTAATGTACTTGGTTCAGCCATTTTTCTATTGGGGACCAGATATTACACCAATTCTAAGCCAGAAGGGAGTCCTTTCACCAACTTGGCTCGTGTTGTGGTTGCAAATATTAGGAAAAGGAAAGTGGCAATCTCATTCACTGGGCAACATTTCTACCACGGACCTAAATCAACAAGTGTTGCGCCTTCAAAAACCTTCCGGTAATATATATTGTATAACTATTACAAAAGATTACTCGTCTCTCTCCCATCTTCTTCCATGTGTTTGGTATTCCAGATACAAGTAATAAATACATATAAATCTCACTGGTCTTTCTCACCAATCTTGCTTGCTTCTCTCTCTATTTTTATGTTAAAAATATAATTATCTAATTAAGTGTAAAATATGTAAAAAAAAATATTAATTAGTGATAGAATATAATAGTATTTAAAAGTATAAATGATAATAATGTATAAGATAGTGCACATGTCTTATTGTGTAGATTTTCCATATAATCTGGGACTGTAGCGTCACTTTTAAGTGTTTACTATGTCTTTGATCATGTGCTTGGGTCATCCAGTCACTAATGTTTGTTTTATATTGTCTCAACTCTCAATGATGAATTACTATTAAGTAAATCTTGATATTAGTACTGTCTGTCGTGGAGCACTATATAATATATTATTAGTTTAGTACTAATAAATACTCTTTAAAAACAGTCTTTACATACTAGGAATGTTATAATTATATACTATTTCGACGATGACTTTCTTAAGGCTGCTAAGTGATTTTTAAAATAAAAGTATCAGAGATTTCACGCCCACTCATGAGTTGTGCTTTTTTACTCACTGTTCAAATTGATCTTTTTTGGGGGGGGATTTACACTGATATTACTATTTTGTCGGCGGATAGGATAGTGATGACACTCAAATTTGGGACTATTAATATCGTGTGAAAGACTTATATATACTTTCATAATTAGATAATGGACACTTGATTTGCAAACAATTGATATACATACGATGTATGCGTTGAGTGTATGTATAATATTTATGTACAATTAGTACAAAATATACATTGTGTACTAAAATAGATGTAAATTCGTTTGATAATAAAAGTATTAGTTTGTTTGTTTTCTTATTGATGCAGGTTTTTGAACCATGCAGCCATTAAAAGTGAAGGCGATGTTAAACTAGATGGCTCAATAGCTAAGCCATGGAAACTTTGTTCAGTCCAAGAAATTGAAGATTTCAAATCCTTAATTAAAATTTTACCACTATGGTCAAGTAGTTTTTTTCTTGGCACAACAATTGGTGTACAAACAAGTTTGTCAATCCTTCAAGCCTTAGCAATGGATCGTCACATAGGCCCCAATTTCCAAATCCCAGCTGGTTCTATATTGGTTTTTGTCATGGTCTCTACTGCTCTATTCCTCGCCCTGTTCGACAAATTTCTATTTCCTACGTGGAAAAAATTGACTGGTAAATCACTTACGCCTCTCCAAAGAATTGGGGTTGGACACTTGATTAGTTTTGTGAGCATGGGTGTCTCAGCCTTAGTTGAGTCAAAGAGGCTAAATGTAGCAAAATCCAATCAAGGTTCAAAGATTGTGCCTATGTCAGTGTTATGGCTTGTGCCGCAATTAGCCATTGTTGGTATTGCAGAGGCATTTCATTTTCCAGGGCAAGTCACGTTCTATTACCAGGAATTTCCAATAACCTTAAAGAACATGGCTACCGCGATGATTCAAGTGATTGTAGGGGTGTCATTTTACTTGACCACTGCTCTAATTGATGTTGTTAGAAGAACAACTACATGGTTACCAGGTAACATAAATAACGGAAGGCTGGACAATGTGTACTGGATATTAGTTGTAGGGGGAATATTGAACTTTGGTTACTATGTAACATGTGCTTGGTTTTACAATTATAAAACCATGAAGGAAGTGGTGGATCATAGTGATTCTCCTTCTCATGAGTGATTAACGGCTCCAAAAGAAAGTCCCGTACCTAGTTATCTATGTAACACTCTGTTTGGATTATGGTTTCATAATGTATTGTATTCTACTGTATGGTAAATATAATATTCGGTAAGACCATATTGTTTAATAACATTTTTTTGTTTGATTGGATCGTGTCATATTGTATTGTAATTTATAAATTTACTAAATTGACCTTAATTATTCTAAATATTAAATATATCAATAGATATTAATAAAATAACAATACTATCATACTTTTTTTTTTATGTTTTATGAAAATAACATAGAATGATAACTATATTATCATGTTTGTATCTAGATTGATTTAATTAAAATATTTGATAAAAAATTAAATAATATATGATAAAAGGTAAAATAGTAATATTAAATAAAAATAGGATTATAAAAAAAAAAAAAGAAATTAAGCAAGGACGGAACGAAGTTATTCCACTGAGCTATTAGATTGCATGCCCACTAAGGTATTGGTGCACATGACTGAGATAATTTGTGTTAGAACTAGCAATCCCAATAATGAATCAAAACTCAACCCACCTCACTTTTTCCAAGTTTTAATTTCTTGCTTACATTTTATGATGATTGTATATGGTATATGTATCAAATATAAACAAAATTATAAATTTTTAATAATATTTTCTCATGAACTCTTTCAGTTGGATTACATAGTAGCCCATATCAGCCTGACGTTTAGATGAGCTAAATTGGGCCCAAATAGCAATATGTCGTGGACCTTGAGGCCATGTGAATAATTTCAGATGCAAACATACAAGTTACTTTCTAAACAGAAGACTTCAACGTATGAGTTCATACTTTATTTCTTAGTGCTCATTGTGGGTTTTCTTTTTTATCAAACTTATCTTTCCAAAGTCCCACTAGAAGGCCCATATTTATAGATATTTTTTGAGCTGATCATATATATATATATAAATAAGTGCTCTCCCAAAAGTTTGAAGTAATTATTTATCCTTTAATTTGTGTTTTTCAACCATGGTATGGGAAGGCGAAGGAGTGATTAAATATGGAAGGAAGCTTATCGGAGCAACAGATCCACAAAAGTCAGAACCCGGAACAATTAGAGGTGACTTAGCTGTTGTAGTCGGAAGGAACATTATCCATGGGAGTGATGGACCCGAGACAGCCAAGGACGAGATCAAACTATGGTTCAAACCAGAAGAGTTGGTTAGATACACAAGCAACGCGGAGAAGTGGATATACGGTGTGAACTGAACAAAAATCGTTTTTCTTAATTTGAACTGTGATTAACTCCGAATGAATACTCAGAAAGTATTGATTATCTGAATAAATAAATCTGATGACCATTTCCCTTAAAAAAAAAAAAAAAAAAAAACCATGGAAGCTCCATTGGAGGCACAATTACCAAGAAGAACCGGAGGCTGGATCACCTTCCCCTTCATCATAGGTCTCTCCTCTCTTATCTTTCTTTCGATAGACCTGAATTTTGTTCCAATACGATTTGATTTAGTGTACTTGTCACTTATTTTTACTGTTCCAATTTATAGCAACGTAAAAAATAAATAATCAAAAGCTCTAATACTATATTACACTATCCATGTACTTTATTTGTTGCATGGGCTTAATATTTGTTAAGAGTAATATAGCATGTTATTTATATTGAAGCTAAATCCTTAACTCGATTTTGTCATAAACAGCGAGCTTCGTAGGGTTGGCCCTAGCATTTGTGGGTTGGACAAGCAATCTTATTGTGTATCTGATTAAGGAATTTGATGTGGAGAGTATTGATGCTGCTCAAATAACAAATTTGGTTAATGGTGCTGGAAGTTTAATTCCTGTTGTTGCGGCAGTTATTGCAGACTCTTTTCTTGGTTGCTTCTCTACCATTTGGATTTCATCCATCATCTCATTATTGGTAATGAACTACCACTGTTTTTTTTTCTTGATGAATTACTCATTACTCCTCATATTCAACACCTCTTCGTATTGTGTTTACCTAACTAAGCTCACTCGTTAAATCAATTCACAAGCACTTTTTTGACTTATTTATATTTTGCATAATATCTAAACATGGTCCTTAACTTTGCTTTAACTCACAACTATGATCATTAACTTTGGTTGTGCACAAGTAGACACTTAAACTTGTATAAAATTGAATAAATCAACACATTCGTCCTACATGACATCCTACATGCAATTTTGTGTCTTATGTATACTATGTCATGTAGGAATCATGTATATTTTATGCTACTTAAAGTGTCTACTTGTGCACACTCAATATTGAAGAATATAATTATTGATTGAAGCCAAGTTAAGAATTAGAGTTTGGAGCCTAAAGGGTACAAAATATTAACAAAAATTCCAAAACGGTATATACAATTTTATATTAATCAAAACGAAAAAATCGCTGCAACAACAGCGATTTTGCAAAATGTGAATTTTTTTTAAAAAAAAATTGAAATCGCTACCTAGACAGCGATGTGTAAATTTTTTTGAAAATCGCTGCATTTTTTATAAATAAAAAAATATGCAGCGATTTTTTTAAAAAAAATTAAAATTTAGAAAACGCTGCCTATGCAGTGATTTCAAAAAAAAAAAATTTAAAAACACATATATACAAAATACAATGTATAATACAAATATTTACCTGCCGAGTTACTTTTTGCCTTTCTTTCTTTCTCGCTTTATAAAAACACATATATACAAAATACAATGTATAATCTGTGTATGTATAAAGCGAGAGAGAGAGAGTGATATTTGATATACAAATATTTTATTTCGATTCACTTGTATATAAATTCAAATTTTGTATAGATATACAAACACATAAAATTGAATTGAGAGGTCGTCAACAATTTATACAAACGAGAGGCTGCCAATAATTTATACAAATGACTTGCCAGCGAAATTATACAAATCTGAAGAGGAGCCATCGAATTATACAATGGATTTACACAAACGAGAGTCTTCCAACAATTTATATAAATGGTCTACCAGCGAAATTATACAAATCTAAAGAGGAGCCAATGAATTATACAATTACTTCTTTTTTATATATGTATAGCGAAATAACTTAGCTTCTTTTTTATATATGTATAGTGAAAATAGTCATATCATATTTGTTATGAAACACAATTATACAAACTATAATTATAATATGCAAATATAAATTTTTTGTTTATCGTACGTGAAAGTTGCTTTTTTTAATCAGAATGATTAATTTTTAACGTACAAAGAAAGGGCCCCGTTTGGTTAACGGGCAAGAAGATATATGAATGAGATACAATGCATGATTATACTGAAGGTAAAAAAAAATACATCCATAATTTTTGGACCACAAATACCTCCAAACTAACGGATGTCCACTTGAGTCATTTGGAGGGCTGATATGGTAGTTCTGGTTCATCATGACAATTTTTTGATACTTTTGATACCAAAAGCAAACAGAGGAAAAAATTTAAATAATTCGATGATTTTTACCCTTTTCCGTTTAAATAAATACACATTGATTTATTCAAAATATCATGTAATCTAAAATTTATCAGACATCAATTCAAATGAACTGTTCTCTAAGACAAAAATATAATAATCTTCGGATAATAAGTTAAATTTACTTCAAAAGTTGGTGCAAGACCAGTTTAGTTCCACCTAAAAGGGTTATTAGAAACACGTTACCCCAAAATTTTGATTTCAAAAAGCCTAAAAAACTCTCATGTTTAATAGTTTAAGTGAATTTGTGTAATTTTCACGTCGACAATAATATAATGTTAATAGCTGTGATGTGAATATAAATATTAGATTGTATCTTATATAATTACATAAATAATTAAGGGTATAACTTAAGTTATGATTTATGAGTGCTCTTCATGTTAAACGCTCTTTTATTGTTAGGAGGTTAGGTTGTCATGTCCCCCTCTGACTCCATAATTTTTGCTTATCTTATTAACATGGTTCTAACCAAAAAAAAAAGAAAGAAAAAAAGACAAGACTTATGAGTGCTCTTCCTCTTTCACATGTTTGCTACGACTACGTAAAATAGTTCACAAGAAAATTAAAGTTAATCCAAAACTCTAAATTATTAGGACAATCCGTCTTAATTAATTGGCTTTTGATACTTTAAACATTAAGAATTATTTGTATTAGAACGATGATACCGATTATTACATTTGATATGATTGATTCGGTGAGATATATAATAAAATAAATAATCCCACTATTGATGCATTTTGAAGTGTATCATGTACTTTTGAAGACATAAGTAATATTTAATTAATGAAATGTATGTAATTCACGTGTTCAACAGTTTGGACAAAGTACGCGTTACGACAGCCAGAGTATTGATTTTCCTTTTCATAATATTGACTTAGATGATATTAGAATATCTAATTTTAAAGTGGAAGTCTAAATAAATATGATTATTTAGCATATGCAAATTAAGCTATTTTAACGGAATGCCATTTGTGACCTCCAATTTTTAAGGAAAGAAGCTGTCATGTAAACCAGAAGATTAAATATATATTAACGTGGCGAGTAAGAAGAGAGAGGCAGGCGAGAGAGTCCATGTATCAACTTGAACACCCAATTAAACCTAGAGAGTTAGTTATCCTAGATTACAATACACTTAAACACAATGTATTTGTAATAAATTACACCTAATTTTTATTCAATGTATATGATATACATGTATCTAGACGCATCATATACATATATTTGGGATCCAAATTTTGACGTGTATGATAATTTTAAAAACTCACTGAATAGGCACATAATTAGACCTTAAACTAATGAGATTTGTGTTGTTTATCCAAAAATAAATATAGCAGTACTCTTCCGGTTGAGAATATAATTAACTAATAAAAGTGTATTTTCTAATAGCTTAAATTTTTAGATGAAATAGTCTCACATTTCAACACTCCGTTCTTATATATTTGACATTGTTCGAATTTCAAGAATTTAATAAATATATAATATGTTGAATTATTAATTATTATGTTATCCTCCCTCCGTCCTATTTTATGTAGCATCATTTGACTTGACACAATGTTTAAGAAAAAATGAAGATTTATGAAACTTGTGGTCTAAAATAATTCTTATTTATTTGTGTGTTTGAAAATCGTTTCATTAAGGGTCAAAATAATATTTTAAATTTAAATTGTTTCTAATAATAATAAGATAATATTCTTTTTGAAACAAGCTAAAAAAGAAAAGGATAATGCATAAAATGAGACGGAAAGGAGAAATAATTTTTATTCAAATTTATATAATTTATTTTTATATATTTTATGGTTAAATTTATGGTTAAAAAATTGATAGAGAAAGTAAAGATATTTATGGTCAAAATTGTGAGAGAAAGTTGAGATATTTATTGTCAAAATTGTGACAGGGAGAGTAATACCACTATTTGATTTAATTTCCTAAACAAGAAAATGTGTTGTGCTTAGTGTCGGTGGCAATTGACAAAATTTATAGATCCGGCGACATTCGATTGAGAGTCAAATAATCTTATTTATTTGCCATTTTTTGTATGTCACTTAAAATATTTTAAATTATTAATTATTGTATTGTAATAATTTTTATTTTAAAAGATTTTATTGTTAAAAGTAAGAGATTTGATTTTGGAAATCTGAATCATAACACATGAATTAGAACAAAGAGAATAGTATAATATTTGTTTAATATCTTGAAAGAAACTAAAACCATTTTAAAAATAATTACTAAACTCATGGGTTCATACTTAATTCGTTGAGTTTTCTTTTTGATGAAAATACATATTTTTTGAGCTGATAATATATATATATATATATATATATATATATATATATATATATATATATAAATGCTCTCCTAGGAGTTTCAAATTATTATTTATCCCTTGTTTTTTTTCAACTATGGAAGTTCTATCGGAGGCACAGATATCAAGAAGAACCGGAGGATGGATCACCTTCCCCTTCATCATAGGTCTCTCCTCTCTCTCTCTCTTGAACCTTATTCCAATGTGATTTGATCATACACTTGTTCGTTTATTTTTATAGTTCAAATTTATTATAAAGTTGAATAAAAATGAGTAATTAAATGCTCTAGTGCTACGATGCTATCAATGTACTTGCACATTGGCTTAATATTTGGTTGCAGTTGTTATAACAAGTTACTTGACGCTAAATCCATGATTTGTTTTTGACAAAAACAGCGAGTTCAGTAGGGTTTACCCTAGCATTTGGAGGTTTGACAAGCAATCTTATTGTGTATCTGATTAAGGAGTTTAATGTGGAGAGTATTAATGCTGCTCAAATATCAAATTTGGTTAATGGTGCTGGAAGCTTAGCTCCTGTTGTTGCTGCAATTATTGCCGACTCTTTTCTTGGTTGTTTCACTATCATTTGGATTTCATCCATCATCTCATTATTGGTAATGAACTAGCTAATTTTGTTTTGTTATCCAAGTTAAGACTGGTCAACGGATCGGAATGAACGGGTACCGAACCAGACCAGAACCCGTTGACCGGTATGTTGATCGGTACCGGAATGAATCGGACCGAAATTACCGGGATGATTCATCGGTTTCGTCCCATTCCACTATATACCGGAATGAACTAGAACGAACCGGGATGGAACGGGACGATATTTTTTAGAATTATGAAAATATAATTTTTTTATTTATCTTTTTAAGTATAAAATAATAGTTTTTAAATTTACACTATAATTTTTTACTTAAGTTTATTTTAAAGATATTTTATTAATTTTTTTTTTGTTGTTAAGTTTGCAAGTAAAGTCTACTAAAGTTTTCAAAATTTAAATCTTTTGAAGTTTATACTTTATAAGTTATTACTTATATTCATTAATATTTATTTTATAAGTTATATTTATAACTTGTATCTTGTAAATATTAAATAAATAAAATTTGTAATTTTAAAAAAATTAAATTAAAATAAGGATAAAACAATTACAAAAATTAAAAAATATCAATTTAATTTATTGAAATTTGTAACAAATTACAATTTCAATTTACAACTATTAGTAGAGTACATAGCTTACGCAACCACTTTCTAGGGGCGGGCAGCGGGCAGTCGGGCAGGCAACTGCCTCGTGCCAAGTGTCAAGATATATAAAATATATAAATATAAATTATATATAATATAAAATATAAAAAAATTAATATATATTAAATAAATCGGACTGGAACCGGATTAGACCGGAACGCAACCGGGATGAACCGGTACCGGTACACCGGTACGAAATCACGATTCCGTTCCGTTCCGTGTACCGGTTCAGACTATCCCGTCCCGTCCCGTAGGCAACCGAAACGGTACCGGTACGTCCCGTTCCGTTGACCAGTCTTAATCCAAGTTAAGTATAAATTTGATACACATATAATATATTCCTAAGATTTGTTTACGGTGTAGGGTGCAATCCTTTTAGCTCTAATTACGACAGTTGATTCATTGAAGCCTACACCGTGTGAATTTGGTTCAACCTCATGTACCCCTATACCAAAAATTCAATATGTAGTACTCTATATAGCCATAGCTTTGGCGACTCTGGGTAATGCTAGTCTCCGATCAAGCCTTACAACAATGGGAGCCAACCAATTTGATAAACCAAAAGATCAAGGGATTTTCATCAATTGGTTTTTTTTCTTCGTTGCTGCTTCTACTATTGTAGCATCCACAGCTATTCTGTATGTTGAAGATAACGTGAGCTGGAAAGCTGGATTTTTCATTTGTGTAGCAGCTAATGTACTTGGTGCAGCCATTTTTCTACTGGGGACCAGATTTTACAACAATTCTAAGCCAGAAGGGAGTCCATTCACCAGTTTGGCTCGCGTTGTGGTTGCAAGTATTAGGAAAAGAAAGTTGCCACTCCCATCGACTAGTGAAGATCTCTACCAAGGACTAATGCTTGTTGAGCCTTCAAAAACCTGCAGGTAATCATATACTTACGTGCCTAATTGTAGGATCCATTACATTTTGTGATCAACTCAATTCTAATATATATATAGAGATGTTTGTGAGATTTGATGATTTAATTGTGTAAAAATCATTTCATTTAGTAAAAGTGTGAACTCTTAATTAATTATCAAGTACTTTGTTTGTTTTTATTATGATATG